AAAAGTGTCCCACTGGGACGACTAGGTGCAAAAAACCTGGTCATTCAGGGAGCTCCAGCGGACTGTCCAGTGGGTTGCTTTTAGTCACTCTCGCTGTGCGAAAATCCAGTGGTAATATCGGTTGCTGACATCGCACTGCAGACGGCCGGCATGGTAATTTACAGGCAGCTTGGCCTTCTCATGCCATGAACCGCGCCAGCCCCAGAATCCAAGCCTCAAGGAACAACGACAGACTCCTTACACTGCGATACAGTCGTGGTCGCAAAAGTGGAAACGTAATCGAGAAATAAGACGGATGAAAGACCAAACAACAATTACCTTCACGGTAGACAAACAATAATAATTTTATTGAAAGGGTGTAACATGGCTTAAGAAAACTTAGAGGCTACAGCAAGGACCGCAAAGTGGTAAAAGAATAAAGGGAATACGTTCCGCCTCTTCATCGCTTTAGTCGAGCCTACTTGCTTAAGAGCAGAGAAACTTTGACAAATGCCAGATTTTCACCTCATGTGCTTATGGAAAAACTGCTCTAAAATAATATATAAAAATTCTAAAGCAGTATGGCACGACAAGGATTTGTTTTACTGCGTTGTCAAGGCAACAGTTTAAAGCAGCCACAAAACAGAGAAATAGTTACATGTATAACGACAAAATGATAAGTAAACGCATCGCTAACGTTGTGATGCGCCGCATAGTAGCGGAAACACTATGCCACCGTAGTTACCGCATCCACTTTGTTTAAATCTTCAAGGACGGGTTTCGTTTTCCATCGCAAAATGTCCGCCGCTAATGACGAGGACGACAGAGTTGACACGAATGTGAGCTCTGAACAGGTGTTTGCGGAAGACGCTGGTTTTAGTCAGAACGAAGGCTTTTCTTCTGAAGAACAAAACTTTAACAAAGATGAGGCTTACAAGCAAGAAGACCGTTTTCAACATCCAAATTCTGGCAGGCCAATGCGGGCGATGCGGTGCGTTGCAAATTTGTTTGTTATTTCGCCTTCTGTCCGCCTTTTTTACAAGCTTTGTTTCTTCTACTTTCACGTATGTGCTCACTTCCATTGCTAGCTGTCTTTGAGACAAAAAGGTACCGGTTATTTGAACTGATGCTTCGCTGCAATACAACCATGATGGCCTATGAAATATAGGCTTATAAGAGGGAGAGAAAGGTGACTTATTTGAAATCCTTAATGCCTTGAGCAAACATCCCTTGTCAAGGTGTCAATATACGGTCACAAACAGCTGACTGTTGTGCAAAGAAGCGTATGAAGGGAGCGGATTAAAGGTGCTGCTTTGTCGGCACAAAAGTCCGTTGGGCGTCCTATGATGGTGCCACGGGTGTCCGTTTAGCGTCGTATCGGAGTCCCGACTAAACATTTGTACGCAAAAAGGACACGTAAATGTGCAGAGAAACCGTATTGAAATGCAGACGAGCTAGTGCACACTCAATCGGCTACGCATTCTCTGAGGCAGACATGCCAATACTCAAATCTGGTTGATAAGCCTCTACGTGACCGAGAAAAAAAACGAATTGTGAAGTGCGTGTAGTTATATTTACACGAACCACGCGCTACAAAAACACAGTATTAGTGGCTAAAGTAAGAAGTATTTACCACAACGTATAAAAAGTAAATCATTTTATGCTTATTCGGAGCTCATTTATGAGATACTACCTGCTGTCAATGGGGTTCCCTTCCTGGACTCCAACGAGGAGGCTATGTTTCGATGACGGCTGTAGCGCCAGGACTAGGTAGGTGGAGCTGACAATTCACTGCTTGATCACCAACGCAACGTTGACTGGAACCTGGTTATCGTCTACTGATCAGATTAGCGTCTTATTTGTGGATTACCCAAGCCATACGGTAGGTCGATCCGTCATGTTAAATAGCTTCGGCCAAAATGCTCCTAACCGTTCATGGCAGGAAAGTTTTCGCCTTAGATGAGCGTTGTGTAATACTAAACCTTAACCTTTTTCACTTTATACAAGACGGTGCTTCGGTCATACTGTGTTCAGGCTTGCTTAGGAAAGTACTGAGGCTGGTCATCAGAATGATTGAAGACCAGCAAGAAAAGTATGTTTAGCTTGTTTAGGCTTATCATTGGGACGTCGCAGTCTAAGGGGAGACCTAATATAAAGGTTCACAATTATAGAGGGTCCCAGTGGCACTAAACTCGGGTATCATTTGAAGCTCAGGTAACAGAGGTTTAGATATATGGGCGAAAATCTTCAGTAACCGCTTAGCGCATAGAAATTTCTCTCCCATGCACTAGTGGGATGTAATATGACAAAAGCCTGGTAGAGATTCAGATATGAATTGGTTCACTCTTCAAAATCAGATTAAGCTTGCTAGGTACTAATTAGTACCAGTCTCACGTGCTCGATACGAAATGAAGGATAGTTTCCTTGGGAGAGGTTGCCTCTGCCATTTTATTCCTTTAGAAGTGAGGAAGCTTGGATGTCGGAGTTCCAGAAGATCTTGCTTGCTTACCGGCACACGAAACAACGCTGGCTAGGGGAAGGCTTATTTCGTCACGGCAGACTGACCTGACTTACTCAAGGTCTATGGCTTTCCGCTTTATCACCGCCTCATATCATTCCTTGCTCGTCGGTAATCTGACACAATTAAATTATGCCAAAGTTTGTCTGGTAGCAGTTGTGGTGCCGCAAACACCTCAAACAAATATGGTTGAATTAGGCCAAATTGACGAAACTGCGGTGATAGTTGACTTGCTAAGACACCTAGACAGGCTCAGAAAACTCCTTGATCGCGTTTTCTTTGTCAAAATGGCCTCAATTCCGGCCGGTGACCGAAAATACAAGTCGTTTTCCTTGCAGCCCAGACGTCATCGGTTCAGCCCTGAGTTGGGGACGAAGCGACCCTCGCAGTATCCTTACCCTAAGTGCAACTGGTGCTGGTTGAGAAACAGAGAAGCGTCGTTACGGCGTACTGCGAGTGACTCGCTTGCATCAGATTGTCAGCCAACAGTTTACCAAGGATACGCGGTAATTTCTTGGACGCATAGGCGCTAAGGTAACAACCAGTATATTCCGATTCGAAGGTGCTTGCCACCAATGTCGTCTAAATATTAATGCAAGCAATATAAGCCACTTTTAACATGCTTTGTAAAACATGGAGTAGATTTTCCAACGCTTTTCTGATCTAAAAGGACCCGGCAATACTTGAATTAGCCAAAAGGCATGATGGTAGTGATCCATGATTTATCGCATTCTCCTAGCGTATTCTGTGAAAAGCTCTTAGTCGGTCTATTCTGCTGTACATGGACTAATCGCCTAAACAGTTAGCAGGATGCTGAATGTGCGGAATGTCAGTGTACCATAATCGCCGCAAGGTTGCCAGTTGCCTTCCATCGTAAGCCTTGACCACGCGGGTCTGCGGGCGGGGACTCGTGAACCACGAGTTGGTATGTGGTGCGTGACGTTACTTTTTGTTAAGCAGATAACGTTAGAAGAGCGAACTATTTAGGGAAATTGTGTAAAATGCTTATGGTTCGGCATAAACGAAAATGATGTTCTCGCTTGCCGACCCAAATCTGCACGTAAAAAGCTGCTTCTCGATTAGCTTTCTCTGCTAGGCATCGACGATCAGATGGAAGCGATATAGGGAGTCGATTCCATGAGTATCGCGATTTATAGCAGGTAATGTGTAAATCCAACAGAATCTACTTCTTTGTCCATGATAAATAGTGAGAGGGCTCTGGTCAGTCTGTTGTAGGCGTCCTGCTGACAGTACAGGTTTGCTGTCTTCTACATAGCCGATTCTCATAACAGTCCAGTACCCGTATGTTGCATAAAATTCGGTAGTGCGATGTGTAGTGCTGCGAGTCCGACTACGTCAACGCTGTAGCCTTCAATTTTGTGCGTGAATGTTAGGCCTCCTTTTTGGTGTGGGTTTTTTGACTAGGAGTGTATGCGCTGATCGCCGAACCTTTTTTCTGAGGATTGCTGGCCTAAGTTTTAATCCGAGGACGCGAGTTCGTGTCTGCGCAGGCACTGGGGACCCCCGGCAACATTCTTAACTTATGTGCGACTAGTGGTAGTTGCGCGACAGCCAATGCTGTACTTTGTGCTGAAGGCAGGTATTTTGACGTAGCTATATTCTATGATCGGTGAAGCGCCATCGATATATACCTTTATATATGTACACATATATGCATGTATATATGTACACATATACATTTATCTATGTAACGCTCCTCTGCACTTGGTCACTAGTGTTACTTGTGTGTTAAGCATGCACATTTGGTGGCAGGTAGCTACCAAAATGCTAGTTTCGCGGCTGTCGTGTCCGTCACAATCACGATACTGACGATAATCTCAATCGAAGAAGCGCTGTTTTGCGATGGTAGCAGAGAGGGATGGCGTACGTATATCTCTACCATTCAGGGGATTAGTTCTGACACCATAAGACACTACTCTCCTTATGGCGATTTAACACGCATAACATTTTCTACGACTCAACTCCTCGCTCTGGTAGTCCACGTTGCCCGACGATACCAATTTGCGCTTCAGAATTCATTTCAGTTACGGAATCAGTTCGACGCGACCTGCCACTCATACAGAATTTTATAGTCCACGTACTTCTCGACATCGCGCGGGGACGAAATGACACTTCGTGTTTTGTCATTGATTTGGCTTTAGTCTTGCTGTTTTCCATATCTGTTTGCGAATGTGCGATGTTATCCTATGCGACATGGTTTAAGCTGGTCCGCCGGTTCCACGTCAGCTTCGCACATGCCTTCCATGCTGCTGATGCCTTTAGCTCGCTCGTTGCCTTAAGGATCAGGGGCCAGTATAGGAGACCAGACGACTCGTAGTATCTTTAGTCCACCCGCTTCGGGTATTGGTTGCGCAGTAGCGAAGCGCACCAGCGTACTGCTGATGCCTTTACGTTCTTCGCAAGTTTCATAAGCATTGTTGCCTCCTTGTTACCGCTTCACAGTTATTCTTGGCATCTGGTTCATATTCTGGGTCTTTTTCAGATTCCCTGGTCCACATATGCAGTACCGACCTGGGCCTCGCCCGCCTTTTCAACCGACTTTTCGTGGACCTCGTATGCCTATGCATATGCCTTCTGCCCCCCAGTGAGTTATTACCTTAATTATTGTCTATATTCCTAGTGGCATGCCGTTTATGAGACCAGGAATGGGGCCGAATCGAACTGGACCACCTTTCGACGCTTATGGCGCCCCTCCGATGGGTATGCCTCGCGGCCCGCCGAGACACATGCAGCATTATCAACACCGTTATCCACCAATGAACGAGAGTCACGACGAAGACACTGACGATTCACTTCAAAACTTTAACGAAATTAATGCCCAATGTGGCGAATTTGACGTCCCACCACCAAACTCCAGCGGATATCAAACTGCGCCACCTGGCATGCGTCCACGTGCTCCGCCCCCATTTATGATGGGCCCTCACGGTGGACCTCATCCTCCAGGATTGCCACATGGAGGCCCGCAACTCCCAGGCCCTCCGGGGCCTCCTCCATATGGACCTCCGTCTTTCGGTGGCCACGGTCAGCCGATGAGCACATCCAATTCCGCTCCGTACACTGCTGCCGGTCCAACTTACGGTAGTTCCAACGCCGGTAGGCCATTTGCTGGTCCACCCGGATCGATGTACACTGGACCTCCTGCAGCTCCAAACTGCCCACCAACCTCCAGTTATAACAATCAAAATTTTGGTAACCCACCCCCTGTCCCAGGTATGGGAATGCCTCCCGGAGCTCAAGATTTTTCTTCACCGCATTCAAATTTTAACCAATCTACTCATACCTTTAATGGTCCTCACTTTCCCGGTCAAACCCGACCTAATTTTGGTGGACTCGCTGGCATGCCTCCTCCTACTGCCGCATCTCCTTCCACTCATCCTATTCCACCATCCAACGTCCCGCATACTGGACCACCAGTACCGCCTCCAGGCATGCAGTCCCCAGGAATGGTCCCTGCCACTCCTCCTGTTGCACAAGGTGCCAATGCTAAAAGCGCTCCTGGCACTCTTGCCGGGCCACCTATGCCTACACTCCAACCGGGTCCTACATTCAGCCAGCAGTCCGATGGCCCAGCTGGTCCTGCATTTCCGAGCCCTTCAAATTTGCCTTTCGCCTCTCCTCGCCCACCTTACAGTGCACCGAGTGGATCGCTTCCTACTTCAACTTCAGCCACTGTGACCAATCCATCAGCTACACCCACCAGTACATCTGCTCTCTTGCCACCTTTGTGCCCACCGCCAGCTCCCCACCCTCCGGTAACTACTGCATCATCTGGGTACACGTTCACCGGATCTACCGAAGGTAATTAGTTTTGTTGAATGTTCCCTTCTGAATGTCCATTTCTCGTATATCGGCCACTGCATTGAGTTTCCTACTATCGTTATGAACGGGAGTTGCAGATCGCTGCGTCGGTGCTTTTCTTTCACCGTGCTATGTGACCTAGCATTTCAAGATGGTGCGTCTGCCGCTCGAACTAATCTTGTATGTTGCGCTGTAACATTCGAGTGGACATTCTGCTCACGAAAGTTAGAGCCGCGTAGCAACCGTTTATGAGTTAATACTCATCACTTGGCGACAGTGATCTACTGAGTTACCCGGTCCTGGTACTTGGTTGAGTTTGTTTTTTCATACCCTATACTAATTCCAATCTTTGTTATCTCATGTCCACTCCACATCCATGTCAGTTTTGTGTCTATCTGTCAATGGTCCGCTCATGGTTTTTTTGACAGCTTAGCTTGGTCTCGCACGAAGATCGCATCGTCACTCGCTACTAGCACTTACGTACATGCGAATGTGGTATATTCTCTGGGAGTACTTTCGTTTAACACCTTCGGGTCCGTTACTTTTTGGGACTCATTTTCCAGAATAGGGACGGTGCTTTTTAAGAAAAAGCGTAGTTCGTTCTCTTTGTTGCTGGTTTTTAAGGCTAAGGTACGCTTTCGTCGACAGGTCTATGTCTCTGACTTACTCGATGCCTGCACTTTTTAAAGCGTTCCCAACTTGGCCTTGTTCTTGTTACCCACAGGGGCGCAATTTTCTGTGCCACCATCTTTCCCTCCCTCTGGTAACATTGTTCGGCCAATGATCGGCCAACCGGCAATTCCACCGCAACCGTCCATTCCGTTCCATATAATGCCACCACCAATGCCAACTGTGCCCGTGGTTGCTCCTTCCATGCCACCTTTCCAACCACCGATACCGTTCATGCCACCCATAGCGAACACCCTGCCGCCTCTGGCTCAACCACCCGTCCAACTGAAGACTGGAGAAGACATCTGGGTGGAAAATTTGACTGCTGAGGGCAAACCGTATTATTACAATATGCGCACTCGCGAAACACGATGGGACAAACCAGAGGGTGTTACCATCGTTCGTCAAGGAGAAGTAGAGGGGACCTCCAAACCTGTTGTAAGCCAGTCCACGAGTTCAGCGCCTTCCGCAACATCGCTTTTAAAGCCACCAGAAGTGGCTTTGTGGACCGAATATCGTAACCCTGAAGGGAAGGCTTATTACCACAACTCAAAGTCGGGCGAAACTACCTGGGAAAAGCCCAAAGTGCTACTTGAGTGGGAAGGTATCTGATCCGTTTTCCTTAACGTCATACTTTTCAGAATCTCATGGTACATCAGCAAACTCACAAGTACCATTGGGGTCGACTACTGCGAAAGCGCCCTCGACAGCTGTGGTGCAACCTACCTCAGTGAGTACACCATATTTTTGCTCAACCCTTCTTAGCCTCATTGCGTATGAGTTTTTTTGTTAATTCGGTAGCAAACACAATTACTTTTCCTGTTTTTAATAGTTTAAATTAGGTAGTCTGCACTTTCATCATTTTAGAAGTAAGTTTGTGTCCTAGGAAGTTGGGTTCTCTTCAGGGCGCTCTTTCATTTTCTAATTGTTGTTCGTTTATGTTCGCCGCCCAGCCATTTCCTTGTTCGTTTATTCCAGCTAACTGATGACCAACCTCCCAAGGCATCAATCAGCAATCCTGAAGCATTGAGCGGCCAAGTAGCTGCTGAATCAAAAGCGGACGTAGAAAAAAGAGCACCTGTAGAAAAACCCGAAGCCTCCACTGAAGACTCAAATGAAACGAAAAATGGTCAAAGTAAAGTTCAAAAAGACAGCAGTCGGCCGGTTTCAAGCACAGCCGTCCCTGGTACCCCTTGGTGTGTAGTATGGACCGGGGATGACCGTGCATTTTTTTTCAACCCTAGTCAGCGCCTATCGGTATGGGAAAAGCCAGAAGAACTCAAAGGACGTGCGGACGTCGATCGTTTACTTGAGAAGAGACCGGGTAACGCAAACACATTATCAAACGAAGTCAAGACTAACGAAGAGGTCAAATCAGAGACGGGAGAAACTAGTCCGAAAAAACCACGGTTGTAAGCTTATAAAAGTGATAATAATAAAGCTTGCAAGCACCCTTTTCCTTGGTGTTCATCTCATCTTTGAACGTCGCAGCTTTTGCTCCGATTTTACTAACCAGCAAACCGCTTACTCCAACCCACTTTAGGCTCTTAGCTGATTGCTGTGTGTCGTGATTGGCTTGCTACTTCGTCCACGGTTCGACATTCGTTTTATTTTGACGATGATATTCGGCTCGTGACCAAGGGGATAATGCGTGTGCCTTTTAACGAAAGCACACCGCGACTGGATGCGAAATGACACTGATGTACTGTCGATGTCATTTTTGCTGGCCCATATCCTAGAGTTAGAAAGCTTGTAATCTGACGGCACAGGTTCGCGCCTACCTACCGTCATAATAACCTTAGCCCACGTGCGAACGATGGTGGTTACGCGGCAGCAAAGTGTCCGTACTGCGTACCGGCATACTGCTGAATCCTTATCTGCCTTTCGATTTTAGTCTGGTGTTAAATCTTCAAATTCAATCATTAACTACTTGTGGTTAACTCGCATTGCTTCCTACTAATGGACCCGGTTTAAATGAACGCAACGCCTGTTGTCTGACCCTAAACTAAGCTCATCCTTTTGTGCTTTAGAGAGGACAATGAGCATACCATCAACCCTGATAATGGTACTGATGTATTAAACAATGGAACAACAGATATCACGGACGTTGAGATGGAAAAGACTGCTTCCGTACCGGACAAAATTCCCGTGGGTTTGGAAGCTGCTCGGGAAGCTGAAGAGCGGGCAGCTCGCGAACGTGCCGTCCAACCACTCGAAGTTCGTGTGCGACGTTTTAGAGAAATGCTTGTCGAGATGCAGGTTCGTCCACAATTGCACCTTTTTCCCAAACGGCTCCTTTCACACAGTGATTTTCCAGATTTATTTGTTTCCCAATATAGCGTTATCACGCATCTCGTGATTTCATTTACACTGTTGTTAATTGTGTTCATGTGAAATTCGACCAGTGACAGGAATACTGCATTGACTGCTTCGTTCCGCCTCTTTACTCGTTCTGCCGCGTCTACACTTGACCATTTGGCTACTTTTTAATCCAGTTTGCGACCATTCTCAACTATTTTTGTCCTGTGTCGACACGAGATTTTAGGCATTTCAACGTAGCTCGCTCTCTGCTTATTTCACTTGCGTGAGGAAGCAGAATAATTCGCCGTCTCATCCCGTTCAGCTCGTATATTTACTCCGTTTATAACTTAGTATGGACAGGCAGTTGCCAGATTTCTCGTGTCAGTTGACCCTCCTTTGTGTCATCTAGTGTGCGTGGAATTGAATGTCAGTTTTTCCTTGTCACTGAGTGTGCTTTACGGATTAAACTGCACGCTGGAATCTAGATTGTTTTCTCTTATGAATCCCGATTTGTAGGTCACTCAAATACGCAGTCATCGCTCTTAGTCTTTAAGCCAGTTTGCTCCCCATTCCACTATGCAAAATTACTACCCGCAACATGCTTACATCATACATAGGTTATCTTAAATATTCAGGCCCACCCAGCGCCAACTGATAACCACCAAAGTTGCTCAGCTGAATTAGAATTTCGCAGACTTGCCTATTCCCGCTCACTGGACACCAAAGTCGTTTTTCTGTTCGTTTTTATTATATCCTACGGCTATTCGCCCTCTGTCTTCTGCAGGTATCCGCATTTTCAACTTGGGAGAAGGAACTTCACAAGATAGTTTTTGATCCGCGGTATCTCTTGCTTGCTAGCAAGGAACGCAAGCAGACCTTTGAGGCATATGTAAAAGAACGAGCTGACGAAGAGCGCCGTGAAAAGAAGAATAAATTGAAGGAACGGAAAGAGAAATTCGTAGAATTGCTTGAGGAAGCTAGTTTGTCCTCAAAGTGAGTCCCTTTCTTGCTATCGACCTGATCGCTTTGGCTTCAATTACTTTGTACGGCTTACCGGTAGTAAAACCCGCACTTTATTTTCCACCAGCTATCTTTGAAAGTTATGCGACCTACTTACCCCTTATGGTGTATGTAAGATTTATCTGTCGTCTTTTTCCTTTAGACAAACCAAAAATGGACTGCGTCTGTTTCTGGTTAGGAACCGCCTGCTCGAGTACTGAACAGATGCATCTGTCCCTTAAAAGACATGAATGTTGGGTGTTACCAGAAAGCAACTACACTGCACAATAGGTTTGGTATTTGTTTGCGCTTTCTAGATAGAGGTATCGAAAGCGCGATTCGATCTTAGAACCTTAATATCATTGACGCTTCCTCTTACGTTTGTCTATTTCGAATAGTACCGAATTGGATTCACGTCGAAGTAAATCGCAATCCACACAAAAATTACGTGCTGATATCCATCGACAAAACGGATGTTTCAAATAAGTCAACAGGGCATTATAAGTACATTTGCTTGATTCTGATTAGGCGACGGACTGTTAGTGGTTCGCATAGATAATGATGATCAAGAAAGGCAGACCTCTTATTCCCAATAGGCTCAGGTTCACGTGATCACTTTGTTGCCTTAATTCATTTTACCGTGGTATCTGTTGACTGCATGTATTTCAGTTGCTAACGCTTTTTTCATTAGTAAAGTATAGAAAACAAAAACTGTTTCTTATCATTGCCACCTACAGGGCCTACTCACAAGCATCCATGCATTTCGTTGATAAAGCTGGTTGGTCACTTGCTGAATGTTCGATGTACAGAATTCTAACTGCGAGGGAATCAATAAGCTTCACCCGCATGCTTCACTCACGGGAAGCTATCTTGGTCTTCATTAACGGCTACTTGTTGCTCATAGGTAAAATCGAAAGATGAGTAGGGTAATCCTGACCGTTCTCTCCTTACAAGATCAACCCAAAGGTAATTTTCATATAGTCGTACGCTTTAGCTCCGAAACTTTTGACTAGTGGTCATCTTGGATGCGACCTTCGTGAGTTATCAGGGCACCCCAGTAGGTGAGTTGTCCCTCACCGTTTCTCACAAAATGCCTGTTTGAAACCGCAGTGTTATTTTGCGCCAGACTGGTGTTCTTGACTGATCCTACGCTTACCTTAGTCGCATAGGGTCCCCATAAAAGATCATCAGCAACACACGGACTCGCCGTACCGACGCTTCGCTGCCACGCGACCACCACCAATCGCGTCTGCTGGGTGTACCGTGATGTCGTCCGCACTTACGCGGTTTTCCACCATTGACCTGCATTGAAGTTTTGGAATAGAATTGCAGGCAAAACCTTGACTAATCTGTGAAACCGTAGAGTATGCCATCACTAGCGCCTTTCCTCATTCTGCCATTCTCCTTTTTCGCTTTTGTCGTATTGACCTGCACAGACCAGTGGGTTCAATACTATCCTTAACGTTATACTCAGTCCTTTCAGTCACAGCTTTCGTTTCACATCAATCCATTCAATGTTCGCAACATGTCAGCTTGACTGACAGACAATATGCTTGGGGTCGATAGGTACGGTGTCTTCGAAGCACATACAAATTAGTTGCATCACAGTGGAATTCCCTCTACTTAACTAAATTAACTAGCAACGCTTGTCCTTTTCAACTTTGCGGAGATATTCTGTCCACTTAACATCTAGTGTATAGCCGCGTACATACTGCTAGACTCCGGACCTCGATCGATATTATTAGTCGCCGTCTCAAGATGCCATTTTGTTTCCCTTTGTACGCTCACATCCATCTTGTCTCGCAGGTTACCAACTGTCGAATATGGATACTGATCGTTTCTAATGATTGACGCCGTCGCAACGAGACTGGACCTTAACGTGGTGCGACCGTTTGGTTACCTCCTTGACCCATTGATCTATACTGGGTAGTGCCTGCTGGCCTCTACTCCTCCGATGATATTGTTTTTATTTGGATTTGGCCACTCAATGGGCCGTAGCATTCAGGAGAGTTTGTGTCCGCTGGATCCAACTTGCAAGCGTTATGGACCACCTTTGGATGACCTATGGAGCACCATGATTTCTTTAAGGAATTTGAAAGCGTTATGGATTCGTCTGGCTGCAAAAAGGTGTAGTTCTGTTATTATAGTGCTTGCAGGGGAAATAAACGAACAAGTGGGGCGTGTGAGCTCTTCAGAAGCTCAGCTAAGTGGTACATGTGGGCTTAACTCCCAACGGACTGACAACAGCAAGCGTCTGCTCCACTGTGTGCGGAGCACCAGTTGTTTCTTAATAACACTGCTTTTGGACATAGTGGGCGCCGAATTGCCCCTTGACGTCCTCCCATAACTGGCCAGCGATGGATCAAAATTGACCACGTGGCCATAAGTTGCAGGTGGCGGGGTTGCATTTTGAATTGTCGCACGTTCTGGAATACCTGCGTCGACTCTGATCTTGTTTTTGTACGCTGTCATTTCTCTATAAGCTTTACCGGTAGGCACACCAAGTGTGTCCCCCCGTTGGCAACTGAAAAATTATCTCAGCCCCCGGTCAGGCAAGCCTATCAAATCGTATTAGGTACCGAACTGTCTTATCCTGATGACACAGCTTCAGTGGAATAGGTTCTCGGCCGCCATGCACGACGCAGGAGTATCTGCTTGTGGTACTCCCAATCATCACTGCACCAGTCACTGCATATCCGAGAGGTCGGTGAACCTGTTTGGTATCCAGAAAAAACCTTTCGGCTGGATCTGAGCACAATGTGACCAGACGGGCTGTTAGGCGCAAACTAAAGCGGAGCGTACGTGCTGACAAAGAAGCCTGTCCGACCAATAGGGCTCAAGAAGTGGAGGAGACAAGAACAGTAGGCAATTGCCGCAAAATGTCTCAGCTGATCCGCACCACTGATCCCAGGAAACCAGACGTCATTAAGACAACCAAAGACAGCGCGGGCGCACTGATACGCAACAAGGAGCGCCGTATGCGTCGTTGGGCGGAACACTTTCAAGATCCTTTCAGCTGATCCCGGACCTCCCACTCAGGTGATGCGGGACGAGCCATGGACGGTTAGTTTAGAGGCTCCGTCGGAGGCCGAAGTCCGAAGCGCGATCACAGCCCTCAACCGTTTTCGTGGTGTTGTCCTGGATTCCACCCCATCTGCACTATTTAAAGATGGAGGTGAAGTCCTCTGCGAAGCATTGACCTCCCTATTCGAACGTATCTGGTAGGAAGTGTCCCGGCTAAATGGATTACATCGATTATAGTGGCAATGCCCACAGGGGGATTAGCCAAACGCCAGTTGCGACAATATTACTGACCTCGATTCTCCTTCGTCGCCACAGTGTGGAACGGGAATCTCGGATTAAGGAAGAGCAAGCGGGTTTCCACCCACGACTTGTCCGTATAGACCATATATTCACTGCGACAGGTGCTAGAGCAGCGCCACGCATACCGCAGACCGACAATAGCTGTGTTCCTCGATTTCAAGAGTTGCTTTCATTTCAGTCGATCGGTGCATTCCGTTCGAAATATTTGTGCAGAAAGGTGTTCCCAAGAAATATGTGAACTGCTTACGTGCTCTATGCTCGAATACCATAGGCCGCGTCAGGATCTACGGTGACCTGTCGGATAGCTTTCCGACAACAAGTAGCGTTCCTCAGGGTTGTCCGAGTTCCCCATTTCTGTTCAATTTCGTCGTGGTCTCCATCATGGAATGTTCCCTTATGAAATATCCTTCCTGGTACAAGATTGGTTGAACTTGGTTATGCGGACGATCTTCTCTTGCTTTTTGACGATGTTTCAGCAGCACAATCAACCCTGAATAGCCTGTTTGGAGTGGTCCCATTATTTGGTATACGCATCGCACCTTCCAAGTGCAGTGTTGCTGCAGGGTCACCAACCAGTTTATAACCCCTTACTAACTAGGAACTCGAGGTGCTTGACCAAATCACTTACTTTGGCAGCTGCACCAGCAACCATAGGCGCATAGAAACAAGTCAGTTCACGCATCGCGAAGACCAGAACTTCCTTCTTGAATCTGCGGCATCTTTGTCGACAGAAGAAAATTTCCTTCCGTCTGAAATGCCGTGTATACAAAGCCACAGTGAGGGCCGTTCTGTTCTCTGTTAGTGAGACCTGGCTGTTTCGGTCTGACGATCTGAAGCGCCTTCAAGTCTTTAATCATCGCTGTCTGCGATGCATTGCTGGTGTCCGGTGGCACCATCATGTCCGCAACAATATGCGTAGGGGAGTACTTGGTAGCGATAATCATGCTAGCTCTCTAAAACAACAGGTTGCACTAAGTTGCTTTGCTTTGGCACGTATTACTTATGCCTGGTCACCGCTTATTTAGAAGGGCCTTGACTCTAAATCTTGGTGCATTAAGGTTTTCAGGTAAGTCCTCCATTCTTTCTTTTTATTCTTCATCCCATTGATTATCACGGTTGTATTGCAGGGGAGCACTAGTTCAAATGACTGATGTACTGTTGTCGTTATTGTTCTTGTTTTTGTTTTAATGATTGACGCTCAATCACGCCACTTAAAGGACTGAACAGCGACCCATGGATCTCTTCTAGCTCCATGCTTGCCGGTTTCTCAGTCGCTGGGCGGCGACGCCGATATCCAACAGAGTTTCGCATTGCCACACATGACACCCACCGAACGGTGCACTGTCCTCCATCCACCCTACCATCACTCAGCTTGTGCACTGTGCTGCTGCTCTAACGCGTGTCTACACTATACTTGTGCTCGGCCTCGGCGAGACCCCCATCGCTTTTTCTAACTAGCTACCTGGGTTCACTGTCAACGCATCAGCTTCCATTAGGGAAGTTGGCAAAGTTCCAGTGAGATTTGTCTGCAATGCACCACAATGTCGACATTGGTACCCGCTTCTCTTCCGACTTATATGCTTTCGGAAGACACGTCGGCATTGTTGCATTTATTCTATGTGGAGGATTGCTGTGCTTTCAGTTTCCATTAGCGTCCACCTCACTGATCT